TTTTTTAAATCAAAATACCTATCAATGAATTTGAGCCCCCCTCTACTATGCATCATTTCTAAACGAACTTTTGTAGTTAAAAACAAAAACACATCTCCCCGCAAAGGATGACTAGGTACCAGGAAGACTATTCAAAATAGTATTTCAAAGGTTCCTCAGTGATTTCAACAAAAGGTCTAACGCCTCCCTGGGTTTGGGCAGCATATTAGGAAAAAGAACACTAAAGGAATGGTGACTATTCTGTAAGGAATCAGACTCCCTTGGAGGCAAACGTTCAGTTTGTCCAGAAGGCAAGGGTATGGGTTTTGTGTGTTGCAGGGAAGGGGGGAAGGTTTGGTGAAGGAGTGCAGAAGGCAATAATTAAAATCTCTTATGGTTACAACATAGAATAGGTATAATGTTCCTTCTTTTAGGTACCCTGTTTTGCATTGTCACAATGGACTAGATTCAACTTAGAAAATTCTGGATATTTTTTAGTTGGTGCATGGGTAAGTAAATTATCTTCAGTTGCAACATAAAACTATCTTTGACAATAAAACATTTCCAAGGGGGTTAAATGTACATTATTCTCAAGGAAACTGCCTCAGTGGTCCTAATTTTCACTAAAGAGACCTCATTCCCTTTGAAAATCAGTGTTCTATAACTCTTTGTAAATACAGGTACTGTATGGATTGAATTCCAACTGTTGAGAGACAATTTTCCATGGGTATCTTATGTTTCTGCACACCTGTGATCAGAGGCACACAAGCTTTTGTTCTAAACTATCTTTTCAAGGGTGTCTGTATAGCAAACAGCCTTGGAAGGCAGTGTCTCCCTCCCAGAAAGAGGGCACGTTTGTTTGCTATCCGGGATAATAAGATCAGATAGATTTGCTTGCAGGCCCTTGACAGTGTGAGGTCTCCCAAGCTTCGAGTTCCTCAGCTGTGATATGAACAGCATCAGCCTGGCCACTCCACATCGTCTCCATGCGAACTTGGAGAACAACAGGAACAGATGGGAAACTTCACTGAAGCTCATGCCACCTGCTGTGCCTCTGTCTTTGGAGTTTTCTGTGTTCTGTCAGCATCCACGACACTAGCAGGTTAACTTGTTAGCTTGCATGTAAAAACTTTGGACTCTTAATAGTTGACACCAATCAGGCAAACAATTAGATTTTGTAGAGTTAAGGAATTTCCATGCCCTATTTGATTGTCCACTCTTCTCAAGCAAACAAATACAATTCCAGCACAATGAATACATAGGATTGTCTTTTGGAGTTGGTTGCAAAGGGGACAATTCCAGCACAATGAATACATAGGATTGTCTTTTGGAGTTGGTTGCAAAGGGGCTTAATGTTTCCAGAAAGTAAATTTAATGGGTTAAAGGACACACAGCCAGGTGTGGTGGTTCATGCCTATAGTTCCAATACTTTGGGAGGCCAAGGGTTGAGGCTAGTTTGAGGTCAGCCTGGGCAACATAGCAAACCCCGTCTCTAAATAAGTAAATACAACAAGCTAGGTTAGTACCTGTGGTCCCAGCTACTTCGGAAGAGGCTGATGTTGGAGACTCACTTGATCCCAGGAGTTGAGGCAGCAGTGAGCTATAATTGCACCACTGTACTCCAGCCTGGGTGACAGAGCATGACCCTGCCTCTAAAAAAATAATTAATAAATAACAAAGGACACATGTGAGGAAGACAAAGGTTAGGGGGAAACATAAAAGATCAAAAGAGAAGGAGGTAATCCCAGAAGGTGCAGATAGTAATAAATCACAAGGCATTTCTTTAATCATGGTTTTTAGTCTCAAAGTAAACACATCATTCTTTGTTAAAGAAAATTACAGCCCTACCGCCCTCTACCGGAACAAGGCTGGAAAATACAGAGAAACAGCTTGAAGTTAACACTTCATGGAATCTGATCACACTGAAGTCCATTGCTGCTATTATTCAGATGTTAAAGTGTAAACCTCAGGTGTTTCGGTAAGGTAAGCAGCATACAGCTCCCTCTGTGTACCCAGGCTGATAGGTTAACACTGAACCACCTCATGTTGAACACAGTGGCGAGTCCTTCCCACGCGCACCTCTCATTTGCCGTAGTGACTGATTTAATAGGCTGATTTGCTCCAGGTCTCAGCAAGTCGGCCCCAGCACTACTGCCCCACACGTGTACCACCTGCATTCTACAGACAACCGCTGTGCAGGACCCTCCCCTTGCCTATCAATCCCACCTCCAGACCTACTCAGCTCTAACTCGAAAGTCTCACTTTGCCCTTGGGAGCTACAGTAAGGCTGGACACAGTGAATGCCAACCCTCCAACTCCAGAGTACATCACTCTGTGATCTCAAATGGTGAGTGTCAAATGTCACCCTATCAATACCACAAAGCAGTGGTGCCCAAATGTTTTCATCATGCACCCAAATCAGAAAAAAATATATAATGCACCAATAAATGTATATTTATTTATAAATAATAGAAGTGTACAATTGTACAATATATTATGTACATTATAAAACACATAAAAATAGAAATTTAAAAGGATGAGATTAAATACAAATAATCATTTTAACACTTCTTCAATGGATTGATCATCTCCACACCCCTGGGATGTATATACCCCCACCTGAAACAATAGCCCTAAAGTATGTCAATGATTGTTATTTGGGTTTTCAGCTCAGGTTACAGAAATAGGTACAAGATCACATCTTTTAAGTTTTGCGAAATAGCCCTAGCATCAAGTTTAAATGGATGAGAATGCTTGGTGCTAACTTCTTGAGACATTTTTGGACTAATGACTACACAGCTGGTAAAATGTCATGTTATGGTTCACCAATAGTTATTTCACTGTAAGGCAGACGAAATAGGGGACTTCATGGAGTTGAATCAGACTATTTGTGGGAAAATTGTTTAAAAGAAA